TATACTATAAAACTAATAAATTGTGTAACGGAAATAAATATTGTGATCATTATTTCTAATTTTTAATATTACCTTATTAGTGATTGAACAATTTAAACTTAGTTCTTTATATTGCAATATAATTGATGTTCACAATTGAAATTCGACTTACATCGTATCAATTTCAAAGTTAGACATAATTTGTCTAAAAGATTTATAATTATCATAAAGTTTAATTTAATTTATTTATGACAGTGTTTTCAATTTTTATAAACCATACTAATATAAAGATATTGTAAATAATCTACAATGAATGAACAAGATGCAATTTTATTCTTAATTACTTCTATTTTTATTTACTTTTTTTTATCTTAGAATGTTGATTTTATCCAATTTATGTACATGTATTTATATATTAAATTTCAATTACAATAATTTATTATTTAATATACTTATTTGTAAGTACCGAAATAATTATACAAATTTATAGATTAGTTTCAAATTTTTCTTTTTGAATAAATTTAAAATAAAACTAGTTGTAATCATTTATTTAAGTTTAGTTAACGCATAATTATTAAATAGTAATCATATATATATTTTAAATATCATTTATATTTTAATATAATTAATTACAGTTTTACTTGTGTTTTCGTAATATATAAAAATAAAATTTTTTTATTTTTAAATAGAAGGTAAGCTAGTTATCTGTTACAATATTTATACATATGTTTACTCGCAGAAGGTCACAAGGAAGCCTAACCTTGGTAATAAGTACATACCATGTATTATCTTCACTGAGCACAAAGGATATCAAAGTTGATCTTTTTTTTAGACATATCAATTTGGTTTTAATAACTAATCATTTTAGAACAGTATTACTATTAATAAAACGTTGTTGTTTAATGCATAATTTCTATTGTAACATAGATTTTAATAATAATTTTAATAATTTTATTAATTGTAATAATAAAATTGACAATAAAGTGAGTTATCATTAAAACGAGAAATCCTTTCCTTAGAAATTTTTTATTCTATTCCAACAAATGGAAATAAATTATACTTATATTTAATCATACACGTATTATTTTGATATATAATTAATTAAGTATCAAATTATATAATAGTATATATTATGTATTCAAAAAAATTTGTTAATATATGTTAATAAAAATTTATTTTTAAATTTATGTATAAATAAAAATTCAATAATTATTCAATCAGCATCTATATTTTTACTTGAATAAATATTCTGAATGTAAATATGTTAATAGCTACAATAATCTTAAACGATGCATTTTATGTCAGTCGATTAATTTATTTATTAGTTTAATTTATCATAAATTTGATTACTTAGAAATATGTTTAAGTTTAATGATTGATGAATAACACTGTAAATAATGCATAAAAGAAAAACTATAAAGAATTTAATAACGCGTTGTTTATTAAAACCTTTTTAGCTTTTATTATAACTTTTTTAAGATTATACTAAATATAAACATTGATTCACTTCTTACTGTTTTTCTTTTACTAAATCTGCATTTAAATTTTGAAAATTCTTGAACTATCCGTAATAATTTTTAATTTATTAAAACTGAAATTTATAACTTTACATTGATATTACCAAAAAGAAAAAACTATCATTATATAAATACCAAATCTATTTAACATAAAGATGATAACAATATAAAATGTTTTAATTTATAAAATAAGGAAACAACGACTTTGATCTCAAAATAAAATTTTTGAATATTTTATTTTCCACTAAAATTTATTCTGATAATGTAATAATTTAACAAGTTATTTTTTTAAAAACATATTTTATCTTTTATAATTTTAATGCATTAAAATTAAAAAATTATAATTGCATATATAACTGAATGAAGATTTAATTTTAATTCATTGATTACCTAAGGCACTATAGCAATTTCATACCATCGCGTGCAATGTGATGGCAAGTTGCAATTTCAGACGAAAAAAATGCACTAAAAACGGGAAATCAAGGACTAAAGAATAAGAAGATATTCCTTTAATAAATAGTAAATAAAGCATTTCGCACCTTATATAATTATAGTTAATATTTATGTTTAACGCCTGAGATTGAACGTGATAATTTTTATCAAGCACGATTCTTGTAATATTATTATAATTATAACTATTATTATTACATACTTGCTTATTAACATAAATTTTACTTTTACAATATTGGACGCATATGTAGAAATGCGCATGTTTTGTCTGAAATACACTTGTGTGAAATAATGATTCAAATACTTAGAAAGAAATTTTTAATAGTTCATAAATTTCAAAACAGGATACACATTAATAAATGTTGTAGATAAATTAATTTTATTTTCGAGTATATATAAATAAAATATTAATAAATATATCATTTTCATAAATTCCAATAATTTTTGTTTAGAAAAAGCATACGAATTTGCCAGTTATAATACATAATAATTAGTATTCTTTAAATATAGTATTTTTATGATAAAACAAAAAATTACAAAAATATTATTTAAAAATATATTTTATTAAAAAATTTTGAGAGTCCTTAAAAAACAGTTGATAATATCTAATTTTACCTATTAATATTGTAGCATCTCAATGCGCGTTTATTAATATAAAAATGTATTCAGGTTTTTTTTGCAATAATTTTTAATTAAAATTTAATAAAGAATATTTTGTAAAATTATGAAGAAGAGAAAATTAATTTCATTGATAAATTATACTTGTAATAAGTTAAGTATTTAGAAATACATTATATAGAAAAAAAAGCAATAATTGTTTTAGAAATTATTTTCCTGAATATCAAAGGTAGTTAATTAATTTCTAAATTTACTAAATAAACTTGCTAAATATATAAAATATTTCCAAATTTTTCGTTTATTTTTTAATATTAATTATTAAGCAAAACTCTACTTGAATGTCCTGCAAAAAACTCTTTTCATTATTATTATGAAATTCAAAATAATATCAAAGTACACACTATTCATTTCACACTATTAATTTAAAATTTTCATATGTCAAATATATTTTATGTTGTAAATTTTTTTTTTTTAATTTCAACTAAGAATATGAAAAAATATTTATAATAGTCTAAATACTTTGAGGTACTTTAAGTGTTTTTTTTTAATTTAGTAAGCCATTATATTTATTATATATTTTAGTAATTATTTCGTTTATATCATTTTCACTATGAAGTTGTTATATGTAGATGAGAAAAGAGCAAAGAATGTATTCTACATTATGACGCATGTACGCGAATTGAAGGCAAACGAGACAAGAGTTTTGGCTCCGAGTTAAGACATTAAATTTACAAATAGATAACAACAAAATAATGATGTACTGATATATGTATTTTATTATAATATCAGAATAATCATTATAAATACAAAAGCAAATATAAATATAAACTACTGGTTATTATTAGTATTTTACTTTATTTTTTTTCAATAACTATAGCATAAAAAATTGTATTATTTCTTTTATTAATCCCTCCATAAATGTGGCATACAATATTCGTATTTATTGTATTACTATATTAAGAAAATTATTCGTTCATTTTTTGACATAAATACAATTATCATAATACTGGATTTTTTATGATTAATATGCATCACGATTCATATTATGTTCAATTTATATTTAATTAAAATTTATTTTAAAATGAAAAGTACGAAAAATTTAATAAGATTAAAAAATAACAAAATTTTTATTTTTCACAACATAATTTTTTGCTTGAACAAATTTTCTTAATATTTCAGATGATTTATAAAAATCTTCACGCAATGTAATATTATTAAAGTATAATTAATAAAAACAAACTTGTGGTATAGTACGTGTTTATAATACAATTTATCAAAACAAATATTTCTATGCATATGCATGCGTGAGAGCGGGCAAACGCGCGCGTGCATGTGTATATGTATATAACTAATTAATGGGCTTTATAATTTATGCAACAAACTTTTCAGATAATTACATAAATTATAAAGCCCTTTAATTTTGTATATTTATCAAATACATACATAATATTTCAAAATTCATAAAATTATTTGATTATGCAGTATATAGTTACTTTTTTTTAACGAAAATATATATTCAAGCAAATAAATGATAGCTTGAAATAATTGAAAGAATCATTATCGATTAACAATAATTATTTTCATTTTGTATTACTATTGGTAAGATTATAATACTAAATTTATTAGATCTAATTAATAAAAAAGAAAATAATATATATACAATTTTCGAATAGTAAATAGTTATGATTACTAAATTATAAATATGCGTGTATCCATTAATATGAAAAGAAATATTACAAAGACTTACTTATTAATAAAGCTTGGTAATTTGTAGCAAAGTAGGTACATGCATCAAGAATCACCTCCATTTCTGGCGATTTTCTCTTTTCTCTCATTTCTTCTATATTTGAAAGTTTTTCATTTGACATTATTTGAACGAACAGTATTTCAGCAAATCGCCATAAGAAATTCATGTATGGTAATTAATGTTTTATACTCACGCATATTCTTGCGTGTATGTATATTGAATAGTTTCAACTCATGGATATTTCAATTAATCCACGCCTAATCTTGTTTGCTACGAAATAAGTTCAGATTAAGCGTTATATTCAATCGCCGAAAGAAGAGGGCCCGAAAGGGAAAGCTGCAAGATCGAATGGTGTCGTAGTCATCACACATAATCGCAACGCATAATCACACCTTTCAGATGGGCGCACTGGTTTTGAATGGAGCGCGCATTAGAACAACCGCTGGGGGTGATGGCCCCGTGTCCGGTTACCGGGGAACCGATCTGTTGGACGCTGAGGGGGAATCGAACGCCGGTCAGTTATCGCGGCGAGTAAAGAAAAGGCAGAGGATAGCCGGCGCAACAGCCTAACACAACGACCGGTAGGAGAGTCTGGCCGGCAATTGGCTCGCAACTGGCAGCGGGTGGGGACAACGGCCCGGGAGCTGAAGCGGACGCCTCGAGCTCAACACTTTTCCGGTGCACCGCGAGCAACGCGCACCGCCGCTCCGCGCAAGCTCGGATAGGTTCCGGCAGACCCGAGAGATCCCCCGGCAACCATGAAGGACGCTACGTCTATCTGGGCCCAGCTATCGGCGATGGTGAACGAGAGCCCCGGAGGCGAGGCCAAGAGCCTCAGACGCAACTCCTCCGTCGTGGTGAACCGGTTCTTCGGCAACGCCGTGCCTCTGCGCGCCGACGGCAGGCCCAACTGGTCCAGGCGTAAGTCCGGCCCACAGAATGGGTCTTAACGTTATTTCCTAGTCGCGAAGTTCTTCCCAAATCCTGCCGCGGCTACTAAGTTGGGCTGAGTCTCCAACTGGTAGGAATCGTTCACAAGGCCCCGAGGCCTAACATCATAGCGCTAATCCGCCCCGCCCAGGCTTTTACATTTCAAGCCTTTTCTACTGAACCTACTCTGTGTGAACGATACACGCTGCTTATTTTATGTATCTAAATATTCCTATTTCAATTCGAAAAAATTAATTTACTCTGTCATCGTACCAGTATTGACGTGTTTATTAAAATTGCCGAAATAGCAGCGCACTCAATGCATTTGGATGTTGCTGGTATTATTGTCAGTTGTTAAACGCCCATTATTTCCAAATTGCCCATTATTGCCCAAAGGCACTTACTTATTATATACCTATGAGATCTAATCTTTATTTATATATTTATATAAATTAACAAGAATATATTTTAAAATTCTACTCTACCAATTAATAATTGGCGAAAATTTTCAAAGAATAATAAAGGTATAAAAATTTGTAGAAAGCTTAATTTTATTCTTGAATTCTTACATTTCAAAACATTTAATTTTTATTTAAAAACTATAAACATTTAAATTCCTTTTAAAAAAATATAAAGAATTTTTCATCCGTCGTACGTACATTTATTTAACAAGATGTACTACGTGACCAGTACATTTATAACATTTTCATATAATCGACAAGTCCATCTACAATTTAAGCTTGGAAATAAAATTATATCTGCCTATTGACATCATTACTGAATTAGGAAGTTTCATTGATCCCAATTTAATAAATATAAAAAAATACATTTATTTGAACAACGTTACTTTAATTAAACTGTGAAAATAATATGAAATATACAATAATATAATTGTAAATAATATTAATCCAAAGAATAAAATAATAATTTTTCTTTTTAATTATCGTTGAAAATTAAGTATCACCATTTAGTTACAAATATTAAAAACAATATGAAAATTTTAATAGCATATTTCCACGCTATTAAAACGGCAGTATATTATTACATTATGCTTTATATTTTAATTTGAAACTACATTTAGTTGTTAAATACTTTAGTTATTTGTTATATTTATAATTAAAATAAAAATTGTATTTTATGATAAATACAATAATAAATGTGAAGCTTGATATTAATTTGAATTCATTATAATTATATTACATGCATCATTTAACTCTGAATCTTATTATCGGCGATAACAATAAGTTTATAAAATATAATATTTTCTATCATTTCAATTTTCTTGCAATAAAATGTGTAAAACATAATAATTTTGAGGAATTATAATTATAGTATGGTAGCACAATATCTATAATAATTGTGGAAAGCAAAGTACATGTCATGTACGTTTATTAAATATGTTTTATTCAATGAAACTGTCATAAAATGTAATGACTTTTGCATATATTGATATAACTAAAGAAAATTTAATGAGAATTATTTGGGTTAACTTTTATCATTTATATTGAATAAACTATTTTTACCAAATGCTTTTAAAAATTTATTTATGCATTCGAACATATTTCTTAGAATTTCAGAATTATTATACATACATAATATTAAGTTTAATATTATATTACATCAAAGTAACAAAATAGACTATTATTATTTGTATAAAAAGTTAATTACTGGAATTAAAAAAGTGCTCTAACATTATTTTTAATCAGTGAGCGATTTTTTAAATATTCTGAGTTAATGTAACTTTGTGCTATATGTCTATAGAATGTTTATATAAACAGTTTATATACATTACTTTAATGGCATTTCAAAATTTCATTTGACTGATATTTATATATTAATAAAAATAGCTTTCAGTACATTTGTAGTATTTTTTTTTACACAATTTTAAAAATGAAGGATTTTTTATAAGGATTAAAAAATCTACCACTGTCACTACTTCATGATATGAATATTTAAATTATATTTATTATTCTTAAAACTGTGAAAAAAAAATTTTAATTACAATTTAATCTTGACAAGTCAAAGTAATTATTAAAAAACAAATAAAGTATAGATAAACGATCTATTATAAATTATCACGGAAATATTTACAATAGTAGAGGTGGTATATTTATTTTCCTGATTATAAAATTTTTTGTGATCGAATGATTTTTTAGAAAAAATTCTTTTTAAATATTAAATTTATTATTTTACTTCGTCTTAAATATTTAAAAACAGATATATTTTTAAAAATCTTGTTAAATATCAAATAATCGATTATGTAAATGATGAACAAAATATTTTTTAAAATATGTTACTAAATGAGAAAATAAATTCGTCCACTTCAGGAAATTGATTTATCTATTCACAAAAAGCTTGTGTTTACTCATAATTGATTAATTAAAAAATTAATTTTTATTTGAACAAATGTCCGAAATTTGAAATATAATAAGTTTGATTTTTATTAAAAATAAAATGTATATGATAAATAAATGTTCCATAATAAATTTTTTTTATCTTGACTTCGATTAAAAATATAAATAAAAGTTAACACATAGGTTCATAATAATTGTTACCTTGTTTCTTTGTTAGATCCCGAATTAGTGTAAAAATTTGTATTTTATTAATTGTAAAAATAATTTACTATTCTTTTTATAAAATTAGTTCTAATATAAACGTTTTTGTGTACGATGATACTAGTGAAATGTCATATAAATTATGTAAATGTATGATTTTCAAGAAGAAAAAGGAACTTTAATAAAAAAATTATATATAATTTTTAAATAGAGTGACCACTACAACATAATCAATTTACTTTATGAATATTATCACATTAACATTCAGGAACATTTATTTGATCTTGTCAATGAGTCAGTTGCACATATATAGTAGATTTAATCTGAGTCTATTGAATTGCGGAAAGAGTAGTGAAACTGTTAGTAAAGTCAAGTAAGTTATCCTATTATATGAGAAGCAATTGAAAATATTTAGTTCTATCCATTTTTCCCACTTTTTGCTGGTTTTGTCTATGTTTCTACGTCAGTCTCTGACGATCTCATTACTTTTTTGCGTTCCTCCATTTTGATTCATACCATTAATAAACAATAAATTTATTGCACAATTAATTCTATTTTTTTTCATATTTGAATTTAAGTATTATAAATACTTGCTTGAGAAACTAAAAAATTACTGACTAAAAAATTCTTTTATTTGTGTATTATAGTTTTATAATTATAAATATAAAAAATATATTCTTGAGAAACTTTTTTTAGCTTTATAATAAGCAGCTCTAATTATTGATATTAAAAATAAATAAAATGAATACAATTAAATTTATACTCCCTTTATGTTATAAATCCCTTTATAATGTTAAAAATTTTTGATATTCTAATTATTATATTATTAATCTATTGCATTATATTATTGATTTATAATTAATAAGTAAAACAATAGTTTTAATTTATAAAATATGAAATAGTATTGTACACAAAATAAAAACTTTTGATTAATAATATATTATCTTTGAAATGGATTGCTAAAACGCTTGAAGCTATATATATATATATATATATATATATATATATATATATATATATATATATATCTATATATATATATATTCAAATACGTTTAGAATAACCCATAAATACATAGATATGTGATAACATAAACTTCAATAAACTCTATAATTTATGATTATTAAATAAAATACGATATAAAACGTCACATTAAAGAGATTGAAGAGATTATTATATTGAAAAAAATCCGTAAGGTCGTTGACCTTGCAATTGGGAGAAAGGATCATACGCGCGCACACACATACACACACGCACACGTGCATGTTTATTCATTCATTGTTATATAAAAAGTACATATATTTATGTTTTTTCGTGAATATATATAAATATTTACATTGAATATGTGAACTTTCACATTTCAAATACACGTGATTTATCTAATGATCATCCGATTTATATAAATGCAAAGTTGGATATCGAATCTGTTAAATATAATTCATAAAATTTCTATTGAACTATATAATTAAGGAACACAAATATTTGATATGCTCAATAGATTTTCTAATATTTATTTAATTGTTGAAATATAAAAAAATAATATTATATTTTACTTAAATCATCATACATGTTCAAATCATCAAACTCTTCATGGTGATAATAGCATTTTCTTCTATTTGTCATAAATGTTACTTTTATATTAGTATTTTTTAAATAAGTATACTTATTCATTAAGATGATTAAAGTAATATTCTGACTAGTTTTCATCAATAAATGATAATTATTTATTTATTCAATAATCCCGAAACAAATAATACAAATTTTATAAGGATTTATTTCAAAATAATACATAAAATAACATAAAATATTTATAAAGTATTTATAAATATTTAAAGAAAAAAATATTTAATGTCAAAGAATAATTTTATTCAAACTGCATTCAATATTAACGGAACAAAATTTTGTTTTATTTCATTATCTCTTCCGTAATCCAACCATAATAACAATCAATAGAAACAATAGGAAGTCCTAATAATTAAAAAGATAAATCTATATTAATAATTATTTATGAAATTCAATAAATGTATATGTATACTAAGTATAATAAATTTACATGTTTAAAATAAATATATTTACTTATATTAATTTTTCTAACATAATTTCTTGATATGCAGTAAAAATTTTAGATTAAAACTAATTTTTTATAATAGCATTTTGTTACGTTTCATATAAAATCTAAAAATTAATATATTCAATATGTAATTAAAGCTAGTGTTTGAATGACAACGAAAATGTCATTCTTTGCGTATACTTTGTTTAAAATATTTTACCTTTTTGTATTATTCTTAAATAAATTAAAATTTTTATTAGAACTTTCCTATCAACGCAAACACATATACTTTCACACTTTGGTAATAATCGTATAATAAATAAAGAGTCTTATTAAATAAATATAAATAAATTAAATTATTATTATAATAAATCACTTAACGTAAT